CCGCAACGACTCGCTGCCGCCCACGCTGACCCCGGCCGTGCCCCCCTACGTGAAGCTCGGCCTCACAGTGGTCTACACCGTGTTCTACGCGCTGCTCTTCGTGTTCATCTACGTGCAGCTCTGGCTGGTGCTGCGCTACCGTCACAAGCGGCTCAGCTACCAGAGCGTCTTCCTCTTCCTCTGCCTCTTCTGGGCCTCCCTGCGGACCGTCCTCTTCTCCTTCTACTTCAAAGACTTCGTGGCGGCCAATTCGCTCAGCCCCTTCGTCTTCTGGCTGCTCTACTGCTTCCCCGTGTGCCTGCAGTTCTTCACCCTCACGCTGATGAACTTGTACTTCACGCAGGTGAGTCTCAGAGAGGCTCCGCTCACCTGGCGGAGTGGTCCCCGCGGGGCGCCGGAGGCAGGGGCGATGGCCTGCGGGGGCGGGTCCGGCCCTAGGGCTGAGAATGTAGGGAGAAGGCGCCGGCTCTGGGGTAGTCCGAACCCTGTCCTGCTTGCCGGCATTTCTCCTAGGAAACTCCCTGCCATTCCCAAAAGGGGCGAGGAGAAGGAAGGGTAGGGCTGGGGGCCGCCGGTCACTCGCTGCCCCTGGCTCCACATCGTTTGGTGGGTTCGGGGCGCTTCTCCGTGCAAAGCGCTAAGCAACAGCGCCTGCACACGCCAGTTAGTACGGATGGAAGGTGTGCCCCCAAGGGAGGCCTGAACTCTAGAATTTGCCCTCCCTCCCAAGGCACCTAACTACTGTCCTGGAAAGGTCCTCGGCACGTTAGCTTCCAGATTTGGGCCCTACACTGCTGTTTTGAGCGCTGGCAGGGTGGGACCGTGCTGGTTTTGATGAGATGTTTTGAACCTCCGGCTTAGGAGCTCTACTGAACTGCGGCTTACTAACTCATTCCACCAGATTGCTAAACGGCAGGCTGGGGTAACACCCAGCTTCCGAGCTGCTGCCGCTCATCAGACTTGCTGTCTGAGCTCATCTGAGAGGCCCCAAGAAAAGGCCATAAAAGTTGACTGGGGATCTTTTACAGCCACACAAAAATCATTTTATGGGGCATATTATTCAATAAGCTAATCGGAGAGTACGTGAATTAACGTGGCTGCTGCTTTACTGGTGATGATTGACTTAATTGAGAGTGCAGTAATTGTTGAGCACTTTGCAAATACTTTGTAAAGCATTGCACAAAGGTTTAATAACGCGGTGCGCAGTCATCATGGGCATCATCATTTCTGGTTCCCATTAGTTTTCCAAGTACTAAGGTGTCCAGTGAAACTGGACTCTGCCGAAGGGGAAGGCGCCCACAGTGTCACCTGGCGAGGGTAATTTAAGAACTGTCGGATGGGCAGAGACCCTGTGCAAGCGGGCATCTCTTTCCTTTTAAGTGTCTTTTTTTTTTTTTTTTTTGAGAAAAAGTCACTTATTTTTAAAAAGAGGCCATATGCGGTGGCTCACGCCTGTGATCCCAGCATTGTGGAGGCGGAGGCAGGAGGATCGCTTGTGCCCCTGAGTTGAAGACCAGCCTGGGCAACATGGCGAAACTTCCTCTCTACAAAATGTACGAAAATTAGCTGGGTGTGGTAGTGCCTGCCTGTAGTTCCAGCTACTCAGGAGGCTGAGGTGGGAGGCCGAGCCCGGGAGGTGGAGGTTGCAGTGAGCGGAGACTGAACCACTGCACTCCAGCCTGGGTGACAGAGCCAGACCCTGTCTCAAAAAAAAAAAAAAAAGGTAGGAAAAGGATTGCTCTGGTACCCTGGAAGCCACTGACTGAAAATTTCAAAGAAATACTTTTGGTTAAAAAATAGCGTATGTGATATTTAGTAGATATTACAATCTTTTAAAAATGGGTCTACGCTGACAGACTTCTTATAAGTCCAGCGTATCAGCATATTTTCCAGTCGGAGAGTAATGTGTATTGTCTGTCCAAGTACTACCTTTAAACCAGCAAACCAGTTCAGGCAGTCAGCTGCATTGCATAGACACTTGGGCTTTGTAATTGAAATGGGGTGGTTCCAGCAAGATGCAAAAGACAGGTGAGGTGATGTTACCTCAAGAGCTGTGGCAATGGTGGTATGGCACATTGAGCTCTTTATATTTGTCCCCTTTTGGGGGGCAGTGGGGGAAGAGGAAAATGCAGGGAACTGCCACAGCTCTCTGGTAATCACATGCAAATTCTGAACTTAGAGCCGGATTAGGGGCCGGGCTGCACATTTTCTGCACTGTCTGCTGGTTGGTGAGTAAATGCTGAGCAAGGGAAAAAGTGACCAGGCAGACAGAGCCACTCCGGCCCGGGGGCCCAAAGTGACGGCCCTGTCTTCTTTGTATCTCCCAGGTCTGTGGGCACCACAGCAAAGAGCATTTCCCCTGAGGGCACAGGGTGGCTGGCTGGAGAAGGTGGCACGTCTCCCTCTCTGAGTGCTGGCATTTCAGAGCCTGGCAGAACAAAGCTATTTCTGGCTTACTGACAAAACTGTGATACTTCTGGGGAGTTATAAAGTGGTCGGCCTTTTGTCGCCAACCCAGCTCTGCCTCCCATCTCCTCCTCTCCCCCTCACCCCCTCTTTCTCTTACACAAACCATTGGAATTACCTAAAGTGGGGGGCTTTAAGAATGACTATTGCTTGGGCCTCCATCTCAGACCAAGTAAATGCGATTTTGGAGAAGGGGCTAACAGCTAACAATTCAGAAGTAAGTTTAAGAAAGCATACTTTTGATCTCGGCTCACTGCAACCTCCGTCTCCTAGGTTCAAGGGATTCTCCTACCTCAGCCTCCCAAGTAGCTGGGACTACAGGTGTGCACCACCATGCCCAGCTAATTTTTGTATTTTTAGTAGAGACAGGTTTTCACCGTGTTGGGCAGGATGGTCTCGATCTCTTGACCTTGTGACCTCATCTGTCCACCTCAGACTCCCAAAATGCTGGGATTACAGGTATGAGCCACCGCACCTGGCAAAGAAAGCACACTTCTAAGCAATTGG